TTTCACCATTAAGTATGATGTTAGCTGTACGTTTTTCAGAGATACCCTTTATTGCATCAAAGATGTTCCCTTCTATTTCTAATTTGTTGAATGTTTTTTCATAAAGGGTATTGCACTTCATGAAATGTTTTTTCCTTTTTCTATTGATACAATCATGTGATTTTTGTCCTTTACTTCTATTAATATGGCGTGTTGATTTTCCTGTGTTGAATCAACCATGCCATCCTGGGATAAATCCCACCTGGTCATGGTGTATAACTCTTTTCACATGTTGCTGGATTCAGTTTGTTTTACTTTTGAGGACTTTTATGTCTGTATTCATAAGAGACATTGGTCTGTATTTTCTTTTCTTTTCTTTTTTTTTTTTTTGGTGTCCGGGTAATACTAGCCTCATAAAATGAGCAGGGGAGTATCCTCTCTTTTATTTTTTGGAAGCATCTGTAATTTATTGGTGTTAAATCTTCTACAAACGTTTGGTAGAATATATCAGCAAAACACGTTTTCCTGAGCTTTCCTTTGCAGGAAGTTTTTGATTATTGATGCAATCTCCTTAATTGTTATAGATCCATTCATATTTTCTATCTCTTTTGAGTTAGCTTTTGGTAGTTTATATTCTAGGAATTTGCCCATTTCATCTAGGTTATCTAGTTCATTGGAGGAATGGTGTTATGATGTATACATGACAGTTTTGATGGGATCCCACAAGAAAAAAAGTCTAATGGAGATAGATAGGTGACAGGATGGGTCAAGCAAGAGAACCTCTAGCAATTCACTGGTCTCAGAAATGTTTATCCATAAAATCATCACAAACAAAACCTTAGAATTAAAAAATTATTATTCAAAATTATCAAAACTAAGTGTAAATTGTCAAAACTAAACTTCCCAATGATATTGTTGTGAATTTATAGCTTTTGTACTTCTGAAGTTCTTAAAGCCTGAAACTGCACTAAGACTCTTGGGACACCCTGATACACACACACACACACACACACACACACACACACTCCCCAGCTTTGACCACTGAGAGGCCCTAAGAGAAGTAACACTTCAGTAGCAATGAGAGCACCTAACATCCAGATCCTGGTTTCTAAATATCATTCCCCACTCAAAGGAACCAGGGCTCTTTGGAGAAACGGCTGATATCAAAGACGAGTTGGGGAAGTGGACATAAAAATTTTCAGCTGAGCCAGGAATATTTCTGTGCCAAAGGGTAAAAGAATGCTCAAAAAACAACCGAGACATGTCAATACACATACACCACACACATACACACACACAAAACTTAAGGAGCTCCTAATGATCAATTAAAATTAATACTGATATTAATTGCTTATGAGCCATAGAATAAAATAGTAAATCATGAATTTACATTAGTAAATACACGAATGAATAAATAAAACATTTAGGAATATGTACATAGTTACACATAGCTCCCACCAAAATATTTACTTAGGAAAAAGGAACCATTTTATAGACGGAGAAGCTGGGAAGATATCACCTTAATTTGAGTAAACATCCTGAGTAATGGGACAAATTGAAACCATTTACCACCTGATAAAATGCAAAGAGAAGAACATAGCGTCAATTCTATGATATTCCTACTGAAGATGTATAACATAATCATGAAGAAGTATTAGACAAGCACAAATAGAGGAATATTGTACAAAATAACTGGCTTATAATCTTTCTGTCAAGTTCACAAAAATCAGTGAAAGACTCAGTAGCTTTTCCATATTGAAGAAGATGAAAAACAACATGCAAAAGACTAAATTCAACACTTGACTCTGAACTGGATCCTTTTGCTATAAAGGATATTAATGGGACAGGTGGCAAATTTGAATGGGATATGAAGTTTTGATGATAGTAACAAATCAATGCTAATTTTCAATTTCTATGCCCTTGATGATAGGAAATACTAACGTATTTTTAAGTGATGGAACAACTTATTCTCAAACAGTTCAGAAAGAAAATTTGTCGGAACTACACCTGCAACTTTTGTGTAAGTTTGAGAATGTGTCAAAATAAAAAAGAGAAAAAAATAAATAAGGGGAATAGCTAAGAAGTTTTCAAAAGCAGACTGGCCGGAATAATTTGCTCTTCCAGATATTAAAGTATATTGCATAGTTATGATGCTCGAAACAGTGTGGTAATTGTGCAAGAAGCAACAGGCACATCAGGAGAACAAACATATCTGTGTTTATAAGAACTTAATAAATTGTAGCTCATTAATAAATTGTTCAAATATATGAATCACAATTAAATCTATTTTTAAATGCTCTAAATGACATGCACATGAGATAATGCTTAATGGAAGAAGAGTATAAATGATCTGACAGCACACGATGGGCTCCTCGGTGCTGGCAATGGTCCATGTCTTGACCTCTATTTATTCACCGTGTTTCATAAATATGTTGTATGTATGTTCCCGATGTATGTTACGATACAAGAATTTTAAAGAGCATCCAGTACTCTTTATCATCCCAGACTATATTCTAGACGGTGAGCTGATACGTGGATAAGATTTTATTACCAAGTTCCAGAAAGGTTAAACCATTGCTCTCCGGGAGCTGGTAAGTACCAAAGCCAGGATACGAACCCAACCATACTTTGGCCACTACGCTGTCATGGAGCCCCAGCATTAGTGTTGAGAGCACTAACAGTCATCACAACAGTTACCGGGATTGTGTGCCCCAAAGGTGCGCCAGACAGTGTGCTGGGAGCTTTACACATGTCACTCGCATGACCTTCGCGACAGCCCTGCGAAGGTGGTGTTTTCACTCCCAAGTTACAGGTAAGAAAAAGGAGCACAGAGCTGGCGAAGAAAGAAGCCACGTTCAGACCTCCATCAATGCATTCATTAGGTACCCGTGAACTGAGCAGCAGCGGTACGCCAGGCACTGGAAAGGGACTGGAGACGTGGGACACTTAGGACATGATTTCTATCCTCCAGGAGCTGACCTTCCCGATGAATTCCAAATCTCAGCCGCTCAGTCTGTGCCTCCTGCTGATCTCCAGCAGGGGTGCCTCTCTGCTGTGTCTAAATATGGCCTCAAGTCGGATACCTCTCCCAGTAGCAGTTGAGTTACCTCCCCCACATATCTTTTTCCCACAAAGTTAAATAAAGAACGAGCAAACAAAACCCAGCAGCTATGATTCAGTTATCCTACCTGAATTAGGTTCAGACCTTTCTTTTATGTTTGCCTGTTATTTTAATACTGGACATAGGGAATAGGCCCCAAAAGGCTGACCTGCGACCAAAAAATTTTAAAAAACACATATTTCCTATTATATTTCCTGCTCTTGTGGTGCCTTTCTTGGAGGCTCCCAGTGTGCAATGTAAATGTTAACTCATTCTTCCTTCTGGTTTCCTTGGGAGGCAGGAAGCCAATGTTATTTCATAGATAAAGAAGCTAGAGTCTCAGGAGGTTAAATGCCTTGTCCAGGGTCACATAACTACAGGCAGTTGGGGGTGCTGGGAACGGGGCTTGGGGTTAGGAATCCCTGCCTACGGTCCCCTGCCTCCCAAAGGGGGCCTCCTTCTTATGAGATAACTTCGTGCGTTAAAACTCCATTGGAGTTTTATTCTATAAAAGGAATGCTTGGGGACTGCTAAGAGACAACTGCGTTTGGGGGGTTTTTTGTTTGTTTGTTTGTTCCTTTGTTTTACCCTGCACATTCATACGTGCTACATTTTCAGAAGTCAGGTTTAAGACATGTAGCCACTGTCTATGATAGTTCCAAGTTCTCCCAATTTGGGTACTAATATTCAGCCTAAATGACCGTTCCAATGACCATGAGTCCATGACAATGGTGTCCTGTCTGGAGAGAACAGAAACCAGCAGCTCGAACTCTCGATAGACATTTTAATATATGCCATTTTAAGCATCTGCATTTCAGAGAAAGAACAAACTACGTTTGGGGTTGACTAGTACTCCGGAGAAATGTACTGCTCTTTTGTAGGTGTTATGAGCACTTTGGTTAAGTGCTCTGCTTGCTTCTTCACTCTGCTGTCATGATGAAGACACTGCCAATAGCCCTTTGCACAGCTGGCAAAATGGAAACAGGGAGACTAGTTGGTTTTTCAAGCAACCGAGATGAGGCTCTAAGACTTTCTGCTATAATTTTAAGTCCATCAAACCAAATTCCCAATATCCTCTTGTATAAATGTTTAGATACTAAACGGAAATACCAGACACAGCTTCAGCATTTTGACTCTCTATAGTCATCATTCGACAGTTACGTTTCAACAAATAACTTTCAACATTCACCCTTCAACTATGAAGCATCATGCACTCTTATAGGCACTGGGTATAGAGCCATAAATTAAAGAGACCCTGTTGGTAAAATTGGACCAGTTGGGGAGAGAAAAACTCGCCTTTGAAGATATAACCTTTACCTGGGAAAGAATGGCTTGAAAATCTTGTTCAACAACCTCTGAATGCCTTCAATTAAATGTCTGCGTACCTGACAAGGTTAGGATTAAGCACATGGGTCTCGGGTCTCTAAGAAGCCAAGTCTCCCTTTACATATTAGAGCATAACCAAGCTGTGGACTAAGAGCCAGGTGGGTTTCACGGACCTTCTTTTTACACCAGTGTCCTTGGAACAAAATGAAAAAACAAAACACACACAAAAAATAGGCCACAGTCGGGGAGGAGAGGAGAGAAGGAATGTGTGAGATTTATCATAAAGCTGCTCTGAGTGTCCCTGACATGTTGTCAGTAAGAATCCCATAGGAAGTGAAGTCTCCTGGGGAGGTGATAGAAGCCACGGGGAGTGGAGTGGAAGAAAGTTCTTAAAAGGCAAGAACCCTCCTGCAGAAGAAGAGACCCACAGCTGGGTCCACTCAATAAACTGGAATTCACAAACTGCACGCCAGACCAATTTTCACCTCTGAGCTCTTGCCTGATAACTCAGCTAATCAGTATCTGCTCAGGGAATGTGTAAAGCTGGTAGAATCGCACGCATGGGAAAGTTTATAAAGGCTCTAAACATACATACCACTGTGTGTTTTCAATTTGCTGGTTCGATGTTTTTGCCAGCTGCATAGAAGAGTTAAAATCCTGTTGAAAAGAGTGCTGGAGAAATGGCCTCTTATTCTGGATAAAGGATCTTATAGGATTTTCAGCTTGATAGGACATGGTTGATGACTGTTGAGAAATGAAAGTGTGGAAGAAGTTTGGGTATCCATATGTTTATGATGAAAGCACTGCATTGAAAGGGTTAATAAAGATTACTCTGAAATGGAAGTAAAACTAGATATTGCTAGGAAAAAGTCCAACAGATTTGTTCCTAAAAAAACCCCAAAGGCATCAAGATAAGAGTATTTTTCAGTTGCTGTCTTGCGTTTATTAACCTTTCTACCTGTGCTCTACTGCAAAGGTCTATGCAGTTAGCATATCCGCAACACTTACCCCTAAAATAAAGTACTTTACAGAACTTTTTCCAAATTTTCCATTGCTGACTTTGTTCTGTTTAGCAATATGACTTAGTGCCAGTGACCCCACTTCACACATTATACCTTTTAAATATAAGTTTTCCAAACCTGCATTAATAATGTGTACACTAGATATAATGACTGGCACTGAGCAGGCACTCAATGTTTGTTGAATGAATGAATGAGTGAGTGAATGAATGAATGTCCCATACCTAAAAATGTATAACTTTAGCTTTCTAAAAGTTTATTCGACACTAAAACTATTTATTCAATTTAAATGTTCTCTAATGTATTTAATTCATGTGTTCAAACTGAAAAGTGTGGGCTTTGAGTGGGTAGATGATAGCTTTAATATTATACAACTATAAATGTTCTGCTCTTTAAAAAAATGTAGTTCTTTGTGAAAATAACTAGAATAACATTAACCAATAAAAGTAGATAACTCTTCTGGGATAATTTTTTTAAATAAACCAATTCAAGGTACAACTGGTTCCTTTCCATCTTTCTTCTCTTCTCAATCATAACTTCGTCGTGTATTGATCTCCCGATTATCCGTCAAGAATTTCTCGCTCCACTTCAATCTGCCCCTGGAGTCAGCTCCCTCCTAGATCTACTGACTTTGGGGAAAACTTGGCTTTAAAAAAATCTTACAGATCTTTTTGAGCAGTAAGTTCTCAGAACTCCAATTCAGACAAGACCTTATTCCCTTGACCAGCTTCTCTTAATCTGCTGCTCAAGCAACTCTGCTGGAAGTGTGGTTTCCTGGGCTCAGTTCTCTTTTATCCTTCCCACTGAGCAGACTGAAGGGAGACGTGTACAGCAACATGTCCTCAAGTGTAACACCTACCTCCTTTCTCTACCTGGTGACTTCCCAACTTCCCATCGCCCAATGGGCAGATTCTCTCCAATGAGACAGATATCGTAGACCAATGGGATTCTTGAGTTCTCTTTTCCTCCATGGCTCTATCTCTTCTTTCTTCCCTCCTCCCCCAAGAAATGAAGATAGGATTAAAAGAGGGCTGTTCCAAGAGATGAAGATTTACTGATGAGAGCCCGAGGCATTCACTAGGTCATATCTACTAATGAGCAGACTCATGGTGTCTTTAAGGACAACACGGGGGGCAGACCTCTCTCTTCAGCTGCCTCCCGCAGACTGCAGCAGCTGAATTCTCGGAGCATTCACCTCTCTGTTTCCCACCTCTTCCACCCCTGAATGGCATGCTAGAATGGGCCCGAAGGCCAGACTTCTCTCTAGCTCTCCCTCCCCCAAGTTATACCTGAGTGGGTCGTACCAAGACTTAGATTCAGGGTGAAAAGTAGGAAGCTCTTCTTAGACTGTGAGCTTAAATCACTTGTTCCAATTCAGCTTTTGCCAGGAAGCCCAGTGTTGTTGGTACTGGGGGCTACTCAGCTATAGGTAGAGTATTACGGGGTGGCCCTCACTGTCTGAGCACTCATCATCTGAACCGTTGAAGAGAAGCAAAGCCATCATAAAGCAAAACTATTTAGTAATAAGCTGGCCACTTATAAAATTAACCCAGAACCAAACACTCCTCCTTTAAATTAGTCATTAGTGTCTATCCCACCAACATTATGGCAGATGATAAATTCAAAGATAGCAGCAGTCTACTGTGAAAAGAAATTATGACTATTGCAAAAGATGCAGGATTTCATGAAGTTGATAAAAGAAATATTGCCAGGCCAGAAATAGATGTGGATACAGCACAATTTGACCAATTAACAACTGAAGAAGAGAAAATAAACAAGGATGATGACATAAAAGATACTTTAAAATAAAGAGATTCAAATATCAAAGGATTAACGACACCTTTGGGAAAAAATTAAATGAAATCCCTGAATATTTTTGCAAAAATAGCAAAAGATATTTTATTCTGCCATTATATAATTTTATCTAAAAATTATTAACCTCCTGTCTGTATAACAAATCGCCCATACATTTAATGATTTTAACAATAACAGTAATATTTTGCACCATTCTACTGGCTGATCTGGTAGTTCTTCTGCTTCTGTGCTATGGTCTGGGATGCTGGAATGACAAGAAAGTCCAGCGTGGCCTCGTTTACATGACTGGAAGTTGGTGTTGGCCATTGGCTGAGAGCTTAGCTTAATTGTCTGCTGGGCCTCAGTTTACCTTCACATGTTTGTTTGGGCTTTCACACAGCTTAGTGTCTAGGTTTCAAAGAGGACTGTTCCAAGAGGACAAGCCCCAATGTGCATGTGCTAATCAAGTCTCCACACTTGCAAAAGTCCCATTGTTTAAAGCTAGCACATGGCCAACCCCAGAGCCAATGAGGAAGGGAGGGAGGCACACATAGGTCTGAATACCAGGAGACGAGATTCCTGAAGACCACCAAAGTACAGTCTACTGCAGAGCACCCTCTGGCCTCTAATGGACCATGCCTTTCTCACACATGAAATATACTTACCCCCTCCAAAGCTCCCATGCTCTTATCCCATTATGGCATCAGATGTAGAATCTCATTATCCAAATCAGGTCCAGATGCAATCAAGGTCTCTGGAGTGAGGCTGCTCTCAATCTGAAGTGCAAACAAAACAGACAAGTTTTGTTTTCTAGCCCTTACACACCCACATACAATAAAAAGGCAAGAACAGGAAAACTGCAAAACAAACTCCCACTTAAAAAGGTTGAAAATGGAAGGTACATTGCAGTTTCTGGTCCAGAGAAATTGTGAAATACAGCCAGGCACATGGAGCCGGTTTCTTGACTATGGCCCAGTTCTGTTCCTGAAGTGATTTTCTGTGGCTCTTAGCTCTTCCCCCTGTGCTCTAGGCTCTGTTCTCTGAAATATCCTTCCTTTTCCCAGAGAAATAGCCAGGTTTGTAGCCGAGTTTCTTTCTCAGCTTGCTTACTCCCCCTAGGAGCTTGGAGTGTCTTGAGGTATCTTTTCATTTTGAACTGTCTCTTTTTAATCCCGGCTAATATAATTTCATTACAAATTTTGTAGTTTTCTGCATCAAATCGTTATCCACACTCTTAGACAAAACCACTCTCGCAAATCTCTTCAAGACAGTCCTCTCTCTGTTTGGGGCTGCAAATCAGAGTCCTATGGGAAAATACCCTTAAGATTCTTAGATGTCTTCTCGTTTAGCTGGGAGGATCTTTGAGACTTTGAGATATCCCTTAAATCTTTCTGATGCCTTAACAGAGACCTTGGCTCTGAGGCCATATGTTTTATTGCCATCACCCTGGTTTTTATCTTCAAACCAAAGCCATTTATTTCTTTGAGAATTTTTTTCTTGGACAGGCTGGGGCTAAAAAACAATTTTATTATTAAACCCACAAGTTCTAGCTCATTGTTAGTTCTTCTACATTCTGCTTTAAATCTGAATAGTTCCTTCTTTAGCTCAACTTGCTCCTTCTGTGTTTCACCATAGGTAGCTAAAAGAAGCCAGGTGGTACTTTCAACATTCTGCCTGGAAATCTCTTTAGCCAGATCCACAAGTTCATTAGGTACCCTTTCTATTTCCCGTACTTCCACAGGCAACCCGTTTTGCTAATTGTTCTGACAATACATAACTCAAGGCTTTTCTTCAGCTTCTGTGAGGAATTTCTTCAGTCTCCACTAACAGTCAGTCATTCTTCCAAATTTCTCCATTCCTTCTACCAGACTCAAAACCAATGCCACATGTTATGGCAGGGCTCCACTTTCAGGTGACAGTTTCCGTTCTAGTTATCTATTGCTAAATGACAAACCGTCCCGAAGTGTAATGGCTTATGACAATTTATTACTACTTCTTAACAGCTCTGTGGGTTGACCAGGAGGTTCCTACGCTTCACATGTTGTGGCTTAGAGCTGGGATGTGTAGAAGATGTAACGAGAACTCACATACATGGCCAGAAATTGGTACTGGCTGCTGGCGGGGAGCTCACCTAGAGTTGGCTAGGGGGCCTCGGTTCTTCTCCAACACTGTGGGCTCCTCTGCATTGTTGCTTATGCGTTCTCGTAGTATGGCGGACAAGTTCCAAAACGAGGCCTTCCAAGAGGATAAGGCCTGATGTGCGAGGACTTACCAGGCCTTCACTTGCATCCCTCTTGCTATGTTTTATTGGCCAAAGCTAAGTCACATGGTCAAGCCCAGAATCAGTGTGTGAGGGTACTCGTAAGGGTACAAACAGAAGGAAGCACAGTTCATTGAGGACCACCAAAGTATCCATATGTCACATCGTTGAAGTCAACACTTGATTTATTTTTGGCTGAGCAAACGATTAGTGTACAACTGTCATTATAAAGTCATTTTGTTTATAAGACAACATAAACTCATTTTTATAAATTTTGCTTGATTTTTCAAAAATCATAGCTATCAAATCTGTTTTACATTGTCTACCTCAACATTTTGGTCACAACTTTAAGTGGATTCCATTCGAGTGGCCTTTTTCTAATATCCATTATCCTCAGGTATAAAGAGGTCTTGTATTCTGTTTCCCATTTAGCTTTTGCACCTGACGTGTCACTCCTAGGTCAAGAACTCTTGGCAGAGGAGGGACGAGTCATAAAACAGAATCTGGGCTCCGCTGGACCCTGGAAATAACACCATCATAATAGCACCAACACACGATCCCTCATCCTGATAGACCCTTCTAGACTTTACTCATCAAGAATTAAATGGTCACACTCCCACCCGCTTTCTGAAATTATATGCACTAGCCCTTTCCTCGCCAAGCCTCAGCAACCTACAGCTTTACAAACTGCTTCCGTGGGAGATCTCTACAGAAATTCATTCTGAAAGGCCTGTTGCCGTTATAAAGAACATTCTGGAACAAAGGCGCACTTTTTAAAGAGAGGTTTAATTTTGTTCTCTGCTACATGCTTCAGTGTTAAATGAAACTTTAAAAAAAATTAGACCACCTCATGTTTTATAACTGTGCAGTCTTACCCTTGGTGTAGAACACCTGGGATCTGTCTTTTCTATACAGTGACAGAAAAGGTCTAAAGTGACTGAACTCACTGAAACTTAGGAAACACTCTACATTCTTATTTAATCCTTAATGAAACCTCGGGTAATTATTTTTTTAAAGAGGGATTTAAAATCCAGCCAAGAAGTATATATGCTAACCATTTCGTTTTTCTCCTCAGAGATTCTAAATTTAATCACGTAATAGTCAATGTAACGTAAGCTTTTTTTCTTTCTTTCTTTTTTTTTTTTAACCCCAGCATGAATCTGAGAGGTAGTACAATTAAAACTCTCTAATCAAAACACTTCCACAGAGCCAGTGATTTCAACAGCGCTGCGGGTTTGGGCCTCCCCATGGGTGTTGTTACCAATTCTTTCATTTCCTCCCTTTAAACAGATCTATCATTTTACCAGGCCTGAATGTTCTGTTTCTTTCACATATCTTCATAAGCAATTAAGCAAAAGACTCCCCCCACCTGTCCCCTTGGAGCTTGGTCATTTTGCCTTTAGTTTCCATGACAACCTTGGTCATTTTTTTAAAGACCTATAAAGGCAGCTTCAATATTAGTTCTGTGCTTCTGTCAAACTCGAAAACAAAACTGCCAAAGGCCAGTGAGTTGGATTATCGGCAAGCTGGAAGGTAGGGCTGTTATCAGGGGTGAGATTATGAGAAGGTTGCAAAGCCATCTCTTAAGTTTTGAATATCCCAGCAGCTCTGACTTCCAAAAAGACATCCTTAGATCTGGGGGCATCATGAACTGCCTCGTTTAGTGAAACGGGCTGGTGAATAACCTGAGTGTTCACACTCCCAGGTTCCTCCCCTGGAGCCAGGTAGAGGGGTGAAACTAATAACAGAACCCGAAAAGACAGCTTTCTCCAGGGGAGGTCTCTAACAGATTTCAGAGGAGAGCCAGAGGACCAGAGCAGTGTCCCCAATGTCCCCACAATTCAGTTAGAAGTGGCCTAGGGCTGTGTGAGAGCTCTGCTGGGAATGAACAAGAGTTGATTGTTTATTAAAAAAAAAAAAAAAAAAGGAAAAAGAAAACAGCATTTACGTTCCAGGAGAGGAAGCTCCTACCACAGGCAGATGGCTAGGCCTTGCTGAGGCTTAGGA